ACCTCCTGATCCCAACCCCCAGCTTAGGTTCAAATCCCTGACTGTCCAGCGTCTTGGGACATCCTCCAGACATGAAAGGGGGCATGTAAACGTCATGTGTTGTTGTTCATGAACACAGTAAGGGGAAGGGAATGGAGGATATAAGTGAGGGAAATGATTGGACGGAGAGGCAGCTAGTTGGGAGTATAAACACCAGGATTATTATTATACTATTTACTATTACATAGAGTTATATTGAGTGATATATAGTCATATGATATGAACACAGGTCATTTGGCTAGCTGTGGAAAGTGCTATGAGACGTCCTTCCTCTTTTTGAATGGATGGTATTGGATGAGTTTTGGTTTATGTTTCAGGTTTGCTGGAACAACCACAATAACAATTAATGTTATATTTATGCCGCGCCTTTTATATTGGGGAGCACATCTCAAAGTGCATTAGACAACGGACCGGGCACTTGAGCTGTGCAGGGAGGGGAGGTGGGGGAAAACATGGTCGAAAAGAGGGTCTGAAGTCAGCGGAGAGCGATGCAGTTCAAGAGAGCAGGAGTGGAATGATTGAAAGAGTACTTACTGTTGCTTTGACTCAACATTACTTTTAATGAACTTTGGCGATAGAGAGAGAAAGTTAAGTGATAAAATAACATGGACCCCACAGCCACAAAACGTGTATGAATGGAGTTTCCTCTGAAATGCAATGCTGCTTTCTGTTACAACCACAGCTTCTGCACTGAGTTCCACATTCTCACACCCCTCTCTCTGTACAAGGAAGTTCCTAAACTGTCGTTCAAGCAAAAGCATCAACAAATTTAATAGAAACCTTTAATGGAGAGCTTCCGTATTGACCTGTTCGCTCCCCCCACTTAGTGGACTGCGTGTCCCCCGCCAAGACCTCCCCACCATCAGCGGTCGGGCCATCAGCCTCTCTGCCCCACCCTTTGGAACTCCATCCCACAATCCCTCCCTCGCCTCCTTCAAGGCCTGTCTCAAGACCTTGTTCTACGACCCTGCCTTTGGTCATCCTCCCTGCACTTCACCCCTCCTGATCCCAATCCCCAACTCGGGTCCAAATCCCTGACTGTCCAGCGCCTCGGGACATCGTCCTGATGATGCTGTGTGAAACTTGTTGTTGATGCACGCAGGAAGGGGCAGGGAATAATAATCCTTGTATTTGATATAGCGCCTTATCACGTTTTTGAGACTTCTCAAAGTTTCACTGTATATTTTGTGGGCGAATAATAATAATCCTGGCATTTGACATAGCACTTTTCACGTCTTCTCGACAACTCAAAGTGCTTCACAGAATATACTGTAAAGTGAATTGATCGTATATTTGAATAGGGGTAAAGTGAAGAAAATTGTTGGGGGGAGAGAGCTAGTTGGGATCATAAACATTAGTTGGGCCAAATGATCTGTTTATGTCATATCACTGTGTATCACTCAATATAACTCCATGTAATAATATAGTAATAATAATCTTTGCATTTAATACAGCACTTTATCACATCGTTGAGATGTCTCAATGAGCTTCACAGAACACATTGCAAAGTGGGGTGACGATGTATTTTGTGGCCGAAACGCGGCAGCCAATTGTGCACAGCAGTGTCCCAATCTGTTAGTGGCTGATATGTTATGCCCACTCGCCAATAAATGGACAGTGTATTTATGTTCACCTTATCAATTCCTTTCAAAACTTTATCATGTCCATCATGTCCCATCTCAATCACTGATCTCCAGGTGCAATATTACCCCACATATTTGCATTTAGCGATGGCCTCTTTCTGTGTTGAAAAATTGTGATTCTGTGAAACATTCTCATACTTAATTGTAAACTTTTCTCAAACGCTAGCAGCCATCCTGCTGGTCCTGTGCTTCCCTTTCAGATACTGTGTTTTATATTCTCAATTCCATAGGGCGGATTGAGACAAGCTGGGGCTCAGAGAGCAAATTTCAAGCAGTATTTGTACGTAGCGAACAAAGTTGTTCAGTTGCTGATATTAAATAGTTTTCTCACATCGATCATTTAAGTAATAATAATCCTTGCATTTGATATAGCACCTTATCAGGCCATTGAGACGTCTCAAAGCGCTTTGCAGGATATACTGAATTGATTATATATTTTGTGGGCGAAACACGGCAGCAAATTGCACACAGCAGCGTCCCACAAACCGCCATGGAATGAGAGACCAATTTTAATTGGGGAATTGTTGGCCAGGACACCGGGAGAGGGAAACCTCATTCTTTTTCGAATAGCGCCGCCAAATCTTTAATCCATCTGAAAAGGCAGGACAGGACCTCGCTTTAACCTCTCATCCAACGGACGGCACCTTCAGCAATGCAACACCCCCTCCATTGCATTGGAGATACCTTAGACTATCTGATTCCAATTCCTGATGTGGGGTTTGAACCCACAACTTTTGGACTCGCTACCAATGCACCAGGCTGGCATACACTGATGGTAAAGGGAAAAGCTGACTGATCAGAGCATGGCAAAATTACATTTTACATTTAGCACTCACTCAAAGCACTATTCCTAATGCAGAGCTCTGTTGTGTTCCAAATTTACAAGTGGAGTCCTGTGGTCAGCGCACTCACCTCGCAAACGAGAGGACCTGGGTTTGATTCCTGGGTAGGGCGAAACGGACAAGTTCCCTTACTCCACAAATCAGTCAGTGGGTCAGTCAGTCAGTGGGTCAGTTGGTCAGTCAGTCAGTTAGGGTGGGTCAGTCAGTCAGTTAGCGGGTGGGTCGGTCAGTCAGCCGGTGGGTCGGTCAGTCAGCCGGTGGGTCGGTCAGTCAGCCGGTGGGTCGGTCAGTCAGCCGGAGGATGGGTCAGTCGGCCGGCGGGTGAGTCAGTCGGCCGGCGGGTGGGTCAGTCGGCCGGCGGGTGGGTCAGTCGGCCGGCGGGTGGGTCGGTCGGCCGGCGGGTGGGTCGGTCGGCCGGCGGGTGGGTCGGTCGGCCCGCGGGCGGGCGGTCGGCCGGCCGGCGGCGGGCGGGCCGGCCGGCCGGCCGGCGGGCGGGCGGGCCGGCCGGCGGGCGGGCGGGCCGGCGGGCGGGCCGGCCGGCGGGCGGGCGGGTCGGCCGGCGGGCGGGCGGGTCGGCCGGCGGGTCGGCCGGCTGGTCAGTCAGTCGGTTAGCGGGTCGGTCAGTCAGCAGCTCAGGGGTTAGACACTCGCCTCACAAGCGAGAGGACCCGGGTTTGATTCCCGGGCGGGAGAAGCATTAGGTAAGTTTCCTTACTCCACACACCTCTGTTTACAGCAGTGAGTAAGAACCTGGTAGTTAGTTGATTGGCGGATCGCTTTTCTTGGCCTAATAATACCTTTTAAAAAATAATTTGATCTCTCAATCCACGACTGGGACACTGCTGTGTGCAATTGGCTGCCGCTTTTCGTCCACAAAATATAGTAATTTAATTTCCCAGTATATCCTGTGAAGCACTTTGAGGCATTTCGAAGACATGATGAGGTGCTATATCAAATACAAGGATTATTATTATTATAATTATTACAATGTGCCCCTTATTCTCTCTGTTTTTGTTAAACAAAAGGTTTTAGTTTGCCGTTGTGCAGGTAGAGATTTAATACTGCACTTCACAGCAGTGACTATTGATTCCTTACCCAACATTGAATATGGCATTTGGATCTGTGTGGAGTCAGTTATTCTGGGTTTCGGCAATATGTTGGAAACGATGCAGAGTCTCTCTGAAGCTCCAGCTCTGGCACTGTTCTTGTCGCAAACATGGCTTCTCTTTGTCTTGGGTCCTGCACCTGTGTCAGACGTGTGCTGTCATGGTGGTTCATGCGTGGACATGCATGGCCATGTCAGCAAGGCTACCCTGCCTTTTGATCCTTCTTGTCACTATCAATAATGCCATGAATTATCAAGTTCAGGATTTAATTATAATTTGAGTTGTATTAAGCACAGAATGCTGACAGCTCCAGAGTGCTATTCTGTGCAGTATTTCGCTATTTTATTATTTGATCAGCTACTGTTTAACAGTGAATGAATAATTGTTGCAATGGACGATAATTCATCTACAGTTGTTTGAATGGAGCTTTTTGTATCTTGGGTTAGCTGTTCTTTCCTGCTAAGTATGGAGTCTTGCAGTGCAGTGGTTAGACACTCGCCTCGCAAGCGAGAGGACCTGGGTTCGATTCCCAGGTGGGGCGAAACCTTAGGCACGTTTCCTTACTCCACACGCCTTTTTAACTAGCAGTAAGTAGGAACCCGCTGGTTAGTCGATTGGCGACTCAGTTTTCTGGGGATTATAATCCCTTCCGAAATAAATAATAATACATAATAATTTGGTCACTTAACTGTTGATGGGACACTCTGTGCACAATTGGCTGCCGCATTTCACCCATAAAATAGTTAATTCACTTCACAGTATATTCTGTGAAGCGCTTTAGATGTCTCGAAGATATGATAAGTTGCTATATCAAATGCAAGAATTATTATTATTAAATCACTAGTTGTACAGCAGTCTGTGGTCCCAGTTGCTTTTATGTTACTGCGCTGCTCTTCTGTGTGTCTGCTATTGATCAGCAGCAGCAACCAAACGTTTAATATACCAATTCAGATTTTATTACAGAAGAAGTGAATGATTCTACGTGTTCTGGTGATGCTACAATATATATGTTAGTGGATTGGCAAATCGTTTGCCAGAGATAATAATCCCATTAAAAATAATAATTTGGTCACTCAATCTGCGACAGTTTGTGACACACTGCTGTGCGCAATTGATTGCCACATATCGCCCACAAAATATACAGTCAATTCACTTTACAGTATATCCTGTGAAGGGCGTTGAGACATCTTAACAACGTGATGAGGCGCTGTATCAAATGCAAGGATTATTATTATAAATGCTCTTGCACTTCATAGGTCTATCAAAATTGTTTGCCCAATACTTTTCTACAGTCTTGCGTGGTGCATATAGACAGACACGCGTTATTGTTAGCTTAGCACTAACTTTGATGTTTCCTTTCAATCCTCCAGGGAATACTGTGAGCAACCTGATTATGATTCTACCTCCTATTTATGGTGCAATTCAGACGGTAAAGGATGGCCTTGAAACACGCTACTTAGCAGCATACCTGGGTCTTGCAGGTATATTCCATGTTTGTTTTTATATTCATTTTGTTTTTGCTCGGTAGATCTGCTTAAAAGTTAGGAAATCTTACCACCACTGGTGCACACGCATCTTAATTTTTATAATGTATATTTAAGTTCTTGATGCTCCCAGGTCAGGGATGTCTGTGTGGTTTTCTTCCGCTTGCTCCGTTTTCCAGAGCATGCTTCGCTGGCTTGGCTATGGCACTGACAGATACAGAGAACAGCTCACTCGACTTTGGCCAAACCCATGTGTCTCGTCCAAATCTCAGAAGAGTAGTTACTTACTGTACATGTGTGAATGTTCCCATTTACCTCTGGACGTCCTCCTGACGTGAAAAGCGCTATATACAAATGTAAATTGTTGTTATTTATCAAATGTCTCTCTTGAATGCCTGTTTGTTCTCAGTTTGGGGTGTTTTGGGGGCCCAATAGATCCTAGACTGGGACCTACCTGAACTTATTTTACCTAAGAGTTGACCTGGAGAAGAGACTCGCGTCCCATAAATAGAGGCAGGATTTGAATCAACAACAACCATTTACATTGTACCTTTTATGTTAAGAGGTGGTTATCTAGTCTTCAAAATCATCGTCTTCGCTTTCAAAGCCCTCCACGGCCTTGCTCCTCCCTACCTCTGTGACCTGCTAACTCCATATCAACCTATCCGCTTCCTCAGCTCAGTGGGCTCACGAGTCACAGACACACCTAACAGCGGAAACAGCTTTCCCTATCTCGCCTGTCGAAACCTTTCATGATCTTGAAGACCTCTATCAGGTCCCCGCGTAACCTTCTCTGCTCTAATGGGAAAAGTCCTAACTTCTCCACTGTCCTCATAGCTGAGGTTCCCCATTCCTGGTATGATTCTCGTGAATTTCCTCTGCACCCATTCCAGTGCCTTAATGTCTTTCCTGAAGTAAGGTGCCCAGAACTGGATGCAGTACTCCAGCTGAGGCCAAGTTGTTGTTGTGTTTGTTCATAAGTTCTTCCATTTCTTATCTTCTGCTCATTCCTCACTCCCTCTGACCTCCATCAGTGACCAATGATCATATACACGCTGGTTCTCTTCAACACTCCCCAAACACTCTTTAAAAATCTTTCGATTTGAGCGTTCCTTTGGCCAACACCCTCAACTCTCTCCTTTGTGATTGTCCAGTTCACTCCATTGCTGTGGTGAATCTCTTTCAGAAGTTAAATAGTGAGAATAATCCTTAATTTGTGGAGTCCTGTAGCTCAGTGGTTAGAGCACTCGCTTTGCAAGCGAGAGACCTGAGTTCAATTCCAGGCAGAGGGTGAAACCTTGGGCAAGTTTCCTTACTCCACACAGAGCCTAATAATAATCCCTCCAAAACCAAAAACAATAATAAATTGGTCATTTTCAACCCACGACTGTTTGTGGGACATTGCTGTGCGCAATTGGCTGCCGCGTTCGCCCACAAATATAGTCAATTCACTTTACAGTGTGTTCTGTGAAGCGCTTTGGGATGTCCTCCTAACATGAAAAGCGCTATATCAAATGCAAGGATTATTATTATTATTATTAACATTTGACACAATGCGTTTCATGTCAGGGGACATCCCAGTGCTTCCTTCACAGGATATACTGTGAAGTCCAGCAACAGTGTATTTTGTAGGCGAACAAAAATAAATTTACTTGAAAGGTGCTAAATAAGTATCATTTATTCCATGTAGTTTAATTATATTTTTTTAAAAATGACTCACATGTACGTGTATGTTTCCTCAGTACAACAATAGATAAAGCGTGTTTATAGTGTAAGTTCACAGGGTGATGATAGCGAAAACGGGGCAAATCAGTCACTGGGAGCAGGGATTCTTCCGACACATGAGGAAATCCATCATCATTGCTTAAAGACATCCAAATCAAATTGCGATCCATGTAGTCCACCAATATATGAAGTGCCCGTGTATTGGAATGGAATGTATGCTGTCTCCCTGGACTGTCTCCGATGACTGAAGGGGTGGGAGGAGAAGGCATTGGAAGTAGACAACCTGAAGCCGCCAAGATAGATGGGAGTGAAACCGGGAGAGGACAGAGCTGTGGAGGTGGAGCAGGAAGAAGAGATGGGGCCGATGGATGGTCAATGGTATGGAAGGCAGCAGAGAGAGAGGTTGAGGAGGACAATGCGGCACAGGGAGGTCTGGTTGCAGATGGAGAGAATAACGTTGGCGATTGACCAGAGCAGTTTCGAGGCTGTGAGTGGGGCAGATTAGAGGATGTGGGAGTGGTGTGAGAGGAAGGAGCGAAGTTGGGAGGTGATGTTCTAGCCCCTTGAAGAAGAAAGGCAGGTTGGAAAAGGAGCCCAGAGTTAAATCTAGGTCCCAGAGTTGAAAGAGCAGGGCCCTGAACTTTCACAGCACCATCCCATTTTGCTGCACCTTTTTAAACCAGTAAAGGCCCAATTTGTTCACCCCCTTTTACACTTTTGGTAGATCTTTCTGTTGTGGTTGGGTGGCGGGACAGATGAGTTTCTGAACCCAGGCTTGTATGTCTCCTGCCTTCATCTCTTGATTTTCAAGTATAACCAGGTAAAGTAGAAAAACTGAAACAAACCCCAAACAATGAGGAGATTACTGTTTATTGTTCTCTTTGCCTGAAGCGGTTTCAATTGATTTCAGAGATTCCACCAAGTGGCTGTTGTTAAACTGTGAGGCTGAATCGTGGGTGTTCACAGGCCATTAATATTTTGGAAAATGTGTCACACATATTTTGGAAAAGGTTGTTACACTGTGGGCTTAATCTCCTAAAATCATCTAAATGCAGTTATGCCCTCACCAGATGCCTGAAATTTCTTGTTGTCAGGATCGAGAAGAAGTTTTGGAAACTTTAAAAATGTATTCTGAATTAGGAGATTGAGTCCTAGATCAGCTTTAACTTTCTCCAACTCAACGTTGACAAAACTGAGGCTGTTCAGCTGTTGCTCACCTCAGGTGCGGAGCTTGTCAATCTCGCTCTGCCGCTGAAGGCAGATGCCCACCAGATAGATAGCTGATGAGGAAACTCTGAGGCTTGGGGTGGCAGCTGCTGGAAGGTGTTACCCAGATCCGAGTTTGTGACACGTTTGTACATCCAGCGCCTGGAACCCAACGTGGTTGGCTGCAGAGAGACCAGCAGCTCCTGCTTAAACTCCATACCTCCAAGTGGGGAACCATCGCTCAGTGGGAAGGGACGTGTGTCTGAGCTGTGGACAGGAAGATGGTGGTAATGCTCTCACACATTTCATGCTAAGCTGTGTTGCCCTTCAGGAAGTTCGCAGGGAATTCCTGGTACCTACCATCCACCTAGTGAGCCTCAAACCTGCACTGGTTGGTGTCAAACAACCAAATAGTAGCTAAACCCCGGCTCGGGTCTAAATCCCTAATTGTCCTGCAGCTTGAGACATCCTCCCGATGTGAAAGGCGCTGTGTAAATGACGTGTTGTTGTAGTATAATAATAATATAGCTAAGTGAGGATGTGGGTGATGGGCTTGTGTAGTTTGGTGCAGGAGAGAACACAGGCTGAAGGTGAGTTCCTGATACCTCCGGCTTGCTGGGGAACCGAGGGATTGGAATAATCCGGATATGATTAAGACATGGAGAAGTAGTGGTGGGCAGTGTTACAGAGGTGAACCATAGCTGTGTGAGAGCCCAGATGTAGAAATTTCAGGGCAGTTCATAGAATCGTAGAATTATACAGCACAGGAGGAGGCCATTCAGCCCATCATGTCTGTGCCGGCTCTTTGTAAAGAGCTTCCAAATCAACCCCACTCCCCCGTGCTCTCCCCATAGCCCTAATCAACCCCACTCCCCCGCTCTCTCCCCATAGCCCTGATCAACCCCACTCCCCCGCCCCCCCCTGATCAACCCCCCTCCCCCGCGCTCTCCCCATAGCCCTGATCAACCCCACTCCCCCGCGCTCTCCCCATAACCCACAAACCTGTCCTCCCCAAGTAATTATATACTTCTCTCCTAAAGATGATATTGAATTGGCTTCCACCAGCAATGCATTCCAGATCCCAACAACTCGCTGTGTGAACACATTTCTCCTCCCCTCCCCTCTGTTTCTTTTAACAACTATTTTAAATCGGTGTCCTCGGGTTACCGACCCACCTCCAGTGGAGGTAGTTTTTCATTGTTCACCCTATCGAACCTCCACCCGAATCCGAATCGAGTTGGCCCCTGTTTCATTATTCCCTTAGTTGTGAGAAGGCGGTGACAGTTAGTGTGTAATCAGAGGATGATGAGTTTGGAAACAGTTGGAGGAAGATCATTGGTAGACGTTAACGTGAATGATTTACCTCCTCAAAATGACAGTCAGTTGGCCTCGGGCTGTTTTGGCTGTTATTCTACAATAATTATTTTCTGAACTGGTGCTGAACCGTGAATACATTTCTCAGGCTAATTTGCATGTGGTGTGCGTGTTAATGGCTGTGTCAAACTGCTGTTGGATCAGAACCAAAATGAGCTGAATACATCCTCTGCTCCAGTATGTGTCAATTTATGACACGCTGTCCGGCGTGGAGGGTGCTATATAAATCCAAGTTGTGTTATGTTTGTGTTATGACTGTTAAGCAAGAGGAATTTGCACTCATAGAGTGCTTTTCACTAGGATAACTGCCCAGGCTTGACTACGCTATCTCCCTCTTGCCACACTTCCCAACGCTTCCTCCCACAAGCTACGGATTATTCAGCTCAGTCCTCTCCTGCAACCCCACCCTCAACTTGCTCCAGTGGCTCCACATCCCCTAGAGGATTGAGTTTAAGATCCTCGCCTCACTTTTAAAGCTCTCCACAGTCTTGCTCCTCCTTTTTCAAAAAACTCTGAAACTTCTGTAAGATATTACAAGTGAATGAACAGCATATAAATTGTACACTTTAGCTTTTGACAACTCCGAGCAATAAAGGATGAGTTCTGAGTTTCGCTCTCAATGTCCTGGCCGCAAATTCCCCAAATAAAATTGTTCACTCACCCCAGATAAAGTAGCATGGTGGGACAATAAT